GGCCCTAAAGTTGGAGGTAATGTAAATCCATTTCAAATCGGATGTGCCCTTGATATGGCTACACATACTTAGAACTTCAGAGGAATATGTTTATTCATGACTGCAGCACGATTGCAGGTCTGGAGTCTTTTGCAACACAGAGAAGAATGTGCTGCCTTTTCAAAATGATTAAAATATTGTATATTGCTATTTCCTGTCAGAACGTATGTCAATTAATATTTTCTTGAACATATATATTTTTCAGATGCCATTTGTAAAGAGATATTTAAGGGAGTTTTTTATTTGTTTGTTTTAAGGAGGAAGCATGTTTTTCAGAATTTGATTATTTTCAGGTGCTGTAGTTGTTAGAGAAATACTGATTTGATTTTTTTTACGCTTTCATCAAGGTAGTGAGTTTTAAATTCTCCAACATTGGAAAGATGGTTGAAAATGCTGGGTATTGAATCATTTGTCACAAAAGGAAATGGGTGGTGGTCAAGTAACATTGCCTCAAAAATGGTTTCTGAATTAGATAATAATAAATAGGAAAAAACAGGTTTTATGCAGTGGTGTTGAACATAGTACATTCTTTGATTATATTAGAACTGTTTCTAGCATATTTTTTATTTTAATTTTTTAAAATGTGTATATTTTTCATATACTAATTAGAAAGCTCTGAGCACTTTTCAGGTGCTAATTTCTGCCATGCTTTTCTGATAGGGTGAATCCTTTAAGAGTATATGTTTAATACCGACAGTTTCTTTTTCTCTCCTTTTTTGTTAATAAATTTGTGTTTAAATTTTGGAAAGATTTTTTAAAAATTAATAGTAACTGGTGGGGAAATTATAGTGTTTAGGATTTCCCCCCACCACCACCTCTTTTTGTCTATCATTCATTTATTAAAAACAAAAAGGAAAACTGTGTAATTTGACCAGATTCTGTAAGTTGTGTTCTCTTGATCTTTGTATATAACCACATTATATTCTAAAAGTCTCATTATATTCTAAATATCAGAAAACTATCATAAATATTTCATTTTAACTATCTTTAATGTATCATATAACTATCAAGAAAGATTGTATGGTATATGTATACATATACTTATATATGCAGGAATAAATATATACATATATCTACTTATATATTTATATGCATATAAATAAATAAATAAAATACTGTGAAATAGAAATGTCTTACTGATTTCTCTGAATATTTTGAGTAATTTACACTTCACTATTTTATTTTCTCTTTGCAATTATAGGAGTGCATCTTTATCCAAATGTTAGTTATATTCTATTACATATTGTTTATTACACATTCTTATCTCTGGTAAAAAGTGTATGATATTCTATGGTTTGTTCTTGGTAACAAGGTTACCTTTACTTATCATAAGGGGATTATTTTTTCCATTGATTTGAGTTTTAGAGTTCTAATCTATGATATTATCATAGTTATTTCATGAATCTGTCTTATTTGACTTAGAATGGATGATATTTGAAATGCATGGTGATAATATTTTATGTTGTTATGATCCTGAGCCAGTGGTTTGTAATTAGCTCTGTTTTTCATGTTTTACTTTCTTTTCTTAGATGAAAATTGAGATGGTGATTTAACTACCAAAGGTCACTTAATTCTGATATTACTCAAATTGATAAAATTAGATATTCTTTTTAAAGAAACAAGAGACTTTCTTAATGCTAGACCAACCCCACCCCCACTCCATCCCTGTTTGGTTTATAGTCCTACCAGATGAAAATATTAGCTAACTTCCATGGCTGTAGACATCAATCAATCACTATACTATATTAATCACAGATTATATCATCATCTAGGTAGTGGTCCTTTTGGTAAAAATAAGGGAGAAACCTTCATTCCTTTTTCCTCCTACTGCTGCTTCTTTGGGCAATAGCAGATTCATTCTATACTGTATTTGCGTTGTTTGTTTGTTTTGTTTCTCGAGCTCATTTAGGTTCACTGCCCATTTTCTATCTAAGAAAAGAGCTATTAGCCAAAGGATATTGATGTTCCTTCAGAAAGTAATATCACTCTTGGCTGTCCATCCTTCTTTGAAAACTTATCTTTAGATTTTCTGTTCTTGGCAGAGGCTCATTGATTTTTAAATTAGTTGTAGAAAGTTTTCTTAGAGTTGTAGAAGCTTTGAGTTATAAGTGACATTGGGAGTCATATAGCTCATTTTACTTTTCAAGAATAGCAATTTCTTTCAAAATAGTCCTGATAGGTGATTATTCAGCATCTGATTAAAGTAATATGTGCTCATGAATTAAAATTTGGAACATAAAGTACCTGCAAGACCACTACATGTAGGAATAATCAGCTGATAAATTATGATGTACTTTCTTTTAATTACTTCTATAATTTTCCAATTTTTTTATACATGCAAATGTTTTCTTAGGAGGACAGAATTGGCATTACTTGTTATGTAGTTTTGTATACTTTTTTTCTATTTTATCTTGAGCATTTTCTCGTCGTCTTATACTATTAATTGAACACTGTTCATGACTAAATAGTTTCTAGGTTGCTTTCAATATTTTCTGCTATTATAAACTGTGCTGTCATTCTTTTCTGTTTAAAATTTACTGAATTAAAAGGTGCAGGGATTTCTTATATTATTTCAGCCTGTCATAATGTCCTCCAGAAAAGTTATAGGCCCATTTCAATTCTTGATAAAATCTTTTTTCATATTACATTAAAACAGTGGTTCTCAATCTTCTGGCACTTTAAATACAGTTCCTCATGTTGTGACCCAATCAAAAATTATTTTCGTTGCTACTTCATAACTGTAATGTTGTTACTGTTATGAATCGTAATGCAAATATCTGATGTACAGGATGGTCTTAGGCGACCCCTGTGAAAGGGTCATTCCACCGCCAAAGGAGTCGCGACCCACAGGTTGAGAACCGCTGCATTAAAATCTGCCTCCTTGTAACTTGGCAGGGAAGATTAATTATTTGTGTGGGTTTTTTTTTTACATTTCATCACACTTTTTTTAAAATTTTATTTTATTGCTTAAAATATTACATATGTCTCCTTTCCCCCCCCCTTTGACATTTCCCCAATTGTTCGTTAACATGACTTTTAAATAGTTGAAGGTTGCCCTGTGTCTCTTTATAACTATTCTGTTTTCTAGACTATACATTTTATTTTTTTATTGATTGAGGTATTGCATATGTGTCCTTATTCCCCCACCCCGTCCCCCCTCACCCTCCCTAGTGTCTGTGTCCATTGGTTGTACTTATATGCATGCATACAAGTCCTTTGGTTGATCTTGCCCCCCTTCCCTCCACCCTCCCCTGCCTTCCCTCTAAGGTTTAATGGTTTGATCGATGATTCTCTGTTTCTGGATCAGCTGTTTCCAAATTGTAAATTGTACTACTATGAACGTAGTATCCTTTCTAATGTCTTAGGATATATTCCTAGAAGTGGGATCATTGGGTCAAATGGGAGTTCCATTTTTAGTTTTTTTGAGGAAACTCCCTACTATTCTCCACAGTGGCTGCACCAGTCTGCATTCCCACCAGTGGTGCACGAGGGTTCCTTTTTCTCCGCATCCTCGCCAGCACTTGTCATTTGTTGATTTGTTGATGATAGCCATTCAGATAGGTGTGAGATGGGTACCTCGTTGTGGTTTTGTTTTGCATCTCTCGGATGATTAGTGACTTTGAGCATGTTTTCATATGTCTCTAGACTATTCATTTTCTTTTTCATAAATTTATATGAAATATAATGGTGATTCAGTTTGGGCAATCCATTCGCTACTACTAGGTATATAAAAAAAGCATAGTATAATGGGGGATAGAGGTATATAATAGTGGTATAAGCCAATAACAGTTCACCAAGTTTAACATAATTCTTTCAGATAAGATTACCAAAATAAAAGTAAAGTGAGCTTCTTTGTAATCCTGACTGAATCTACTTTTGAAGTGTTAGAGTTTAATTTACTTCTCCCAGAGATATATGTTAAGATTAGAGAGATGTATACTGTTTTTAGCAAAGTGTTTTATCCAATTAATTAAAACCAATAGAGCCTGTGTTTAATCTTTAGTGTGAGTTAGTGTTGCTTTGTTCTTTGGCTCAGTGTTCCAACCTGTTGTCAAATTATAAATGTGTGGCCTTTAAGCCAAGGGAAATTATAAAGAGGTTCCATACCAATATACTATTGCCATAAAAACTCATGTTACCTTTGTGCTATACTGATTAGAATAGGATAAAGTGAATTCCCTTAAATTGTCCATTTTCTGAATAAGATTTATAATTTTATTATAGGAATTTAGGTAAACACATCCCTCTCCTACCTCCCCCCCGCCTTTTTTTGGCTTAATGGCTTGGAATACAATTGTTGAAGATACCCAGTTGTTTAAAGTACTTATTTCTCTATAGTATTTTAGGTAATAATTTTTAAAAAGTTAATGAATGTTCTTACATATATATTTTTTTCATTAATACTTTATTATCCTGAATTTACTAATGAGCAAACTAAAGTTTAGAGAAGTTAAGTAACTTGCACAGAGTTGTGCACATAATAAGTGGGCAAAGCATGAGAATCCAAAGCTATTGGATTCAGTAGTTCTGAGATTATAATCTGCAGTAATGATCACTACCTTCCAACATCCATGAATCTGTCATTTTAAAGCTCTACTAGTATGATTACCAGAAAAATAGAATATTTGGAAATAAGCAAACCTGTAATTTTTCATTGTGGATATAAATACTTTTTAGTATTTTTTTTTTTGGTTGAAATTGCCTTTTTTAAAGTTTTTTTTTGAGTTATAATATCACCGTTCCTGTACCAATTATTTTGGCTGCTTTTCTTTTTAAAAAGTAAAGATGGAACTAAATGATAATATAATTGTCATTGTTTATAATTAGTACCACATTTTGAGGTTAGTGGTTTGTCATTGAGGCCTGTATATAACTACTGAGATACATCATTGACCAAATAATTGATTTTCAAAGTTCTGTTGTTCTCTCATTCAAGTGGATAGAATATTATCTCGCTCTTATTTCCATCTAATATCA